ACGCCAGGGTCTGGGGCTGCGACAGCCTAATGTATCCGCTACCAGATTTGCCCCCTGTACTACCTGGGCCTGTCCATGCCACCCCAAGCTCGGGTCTGGTCTCTTCCATGAGCCCCTGGGGGGCAGGAGTTGGGGCTGCTGGGACCATCGTTGGAGAAGTGGGAGTGCCCACCTGCCATGGCCAGAGGCAGCCCACAGTCGGTACCCCCACCCTGAGGTCTGCCCCGGGCTGGAGACTCCAAGGAGGGCAGTGCCCCCTCCTTCCCAGTGCCCTGTCCTCTCAAACGGTCCACAGCAGTGAGGAGGGCAGGACACAGGGCCAGCCCCTGACCGCTGACCCAAGGGAGAGACGCTGCTAGCCCTGGGTGGGGGGGGTAATCCCTCTGCTCCCAATGTTCCGACCTCCACCAGGACTGGGGGCTAGGCCTGGTACAGCTGGTGACAGTAGTGAGGGGGGGGTTCTGTGTGGATGGGGATGGCCCTCCCTCAGACCCCAGGCTGGTCTCCGGTCCAGCTCTCCTGGGGCTTACGGGCCAGCGCCGAGGGCCAGAGGAGGCTCGGCCAAGCCACAGGGCGGGGTCCTGGCACGCTGGCGTGGCCCAGCAGAGCGCCCCCCTTCCCAGCAGGAACAGCCTGTTTCCCATCCCCTCTTCCTTCTGTTCTCCGCTCCCTCAACTGTGAAGAGGCAAACCGGCAGAGCAAACAGGCCCGGTGCACAGCCGCCACATCCGGGATGTCTCACCGCCAGGCCTGCCAGCCGAGCGGGACGGGTGCTGGCTCCCGTCTCCCGCCTCAGACCCCTCATCCTACCCCACTCTTGGGCCCCCCGCGCCCCCCAGGGAAGGCCACGGCAGCATAGCATCCTTACAGGGAACCCCTGGGCCCTTGGCGCCCGTGGGCAACACTGTATTCTTACACAGAATCCCTGGGTGCCTGTGGGCACCACTGTATCCTTACATAGAACCCCTGGGCATCCATGGGCAACATTGTATTCTTACATGAACCCCTGAGCCTCTGGGTGCTCATGGCGAATCCTATCCTTATGCAATATTGTCTAGGAGTGCCCAGGGAGCCTGTGGGTTCTGGGAAAGATGCAATGTTGCCCACAGGCACCTAGAGGTCCAGGGCTCTGTGTCAGGGTACAGGGTGCTCCCGCAGCTGGGGAGGAGGTTGGAGTGGGGAGACGCGACCCCTGTGCAGACGGGCAAGGTTCAAGGAAGGCCAACTCACAGGGGGTTGTTCATGTTAAGTGAAATCAGCAAAAGGGGGGCCCACAGGCACCATGGCTGGGGTCTGGGTCTTCAGGGATCTCTTCGGGGAAGGGGCACATGGTGTGGGCACACGCTCCCCCTGTTCCCCCACTGGAGTGCTGCACAGGAAGCAGGTGGACCCCAAGTGGCTGCCTCTTAGAGGGTCAGTGGGGTCCACTACGTTTTCCACTGCGGGGACATTGAGGCACGGTGCAAGCCTCTGAGTCCTCGGGGCTCTAACACCCCCAACTGCGTCTCTGCGGTTACTTCCTGGCTGTCCCTACCTGCCAGCTCAGCCCACCCCACCCCCTGACTCCGGGGAGCCCATGGGGTGCATTTCTGGTCAGGCCTGCCCCTCGGCTGGGCTGGGCTCCAGGAATGAATGGGCACAGGCCTGCTGACCCCCTTGCTTGGGTCCAGGACGGCGCCTGCAGGACCCCCACCTAGCACTCGGGAACTTGGAGGCAGGTGGGGCTTCAGGGCAGCCCATGTCCTGCGCACAGAGCTTGAAGCCCTCCTTCCGGCTGCCCGTCCTGAGCCCCTCCCCAAGAACAAACACACATGGCTGGAGGGGGGTTGGGGTGGAAACAGCACCTCAAGTGGCCTAGGAGCCAGGCGCGGGGCCAAGGCTGCTTGCTACATAAGCCCCGGCCCCCAGGACAGCAGCACCTGCCTTCTCCCTCCTCTCCTCCCACCACTGTGCCAGCCCCAGGATGGGCACCAGCAGGCAGTGCTGGGCACTGGCCTGCACCCTGGTGGGTCTGCTGGCCACACAGCAGGCAGGTAAGGTCGGCTCCCTCTCCTGCCACTCCCAGCCCTCTTGGGGCCCCCCTGCTCTCTGGGCTTCAGCCTGGCAACGGGGGCGCCAGGACAGACCCCCTGCTCTAGCATCACAGGACTGCCCCGAGACCCACTGGGACTCCGCTCTCAGCTAAGGCCCTCGCCTTGTCTGAGTCGGGGACCCCGCCTGTCCCCCAGGGCCAGTGATGAGGGATAGCGGGGGCTGTCCAGAGAGCCTGGCCTCAGAATGGGTCAGGAGGGGAGGCCAGGGTAGGGGCAAGGCTCGGGGTCCCCATAAGCCCCCTATCAGGGGATAGCCTGAGTGACAGCCAGGAGGCTCCTGCCTCTGGGTCCTCTGGGCTGACAAAAGACCCCCTGTGGGGTGGATGAAATCTCCACTGGGGTTTGACCTGCTGGTGGCCACACGGCCAGGAGGGTCCAGTGTGGTGCCTCTCCTGGGGACCCGGTCCTCCAGCCCTGCTGGTCCGCGATTGTCTGTCCTCACTGCCGCACTCACGGGACACTAACCCTCACTGCAGCAGAGAAAGATGCATCCCCAGGGCTGCCGGTGGGCCCCTCACAGCGCCCGGCCTGGTCTCGGCGCCTGTGGTGTCTGGGCTGCTTCGGCCCTGCTAGCCTCCAGGAGCCTTGTCCTGGCTGGAGGGCTGGGTAGGGGCAGCACCAGCCTCAGCAGAGGGGTCAGGGAGGCCCGCTGGGCTCAGGTCCACCAGGCCCTGTCTTGGGGGCAAGGATGACTGACACAAGGTGGGATCCTGCTCAGTTCCAGGGTCCGCGCCCCACTGCCACCTTGGCCCTGGCCCCTGACCGGTGCCAATTTCCCAGGCATGGCCATGGCCTGTCCCCCTGGCCACCCCCGGACTTTTCCTGGCTGTGTGGCCTGGGGTGCAGTCACTGCTCACTTCCACATGGGAACAGGAGGACCCCGGGGAGGGAGGGGTGCGTCATCCACCAAGTGGAGGGGCATAGAGAGGAGGAGCTGTGCCCGAGGGGTGTAGGGGGGTGCAGGTCAGCCCGGGAGCTCCACAGGTCATGACTGAGAAAGTCCAGCAGGAAGTGGGAACCTGTGTGTGTTGGGTGGGATGGGGGTGGTGGGGTGCCAGCCCAGGCCTAGAGGACACGAGGCTGCCTGCAAGGACAGCCATATAGGGGGCACCAGCCCTGCCTAGCAGCTGGTATGAGGAGGAAATTCTGGGGCCCAGTCAGCAAGAGAGGTGATGGGCAGGGAGAACAGGCCAGTGGCCAGGGCACGGCCCCCAGCAGCGGCACCCGCTGGACCAGGGCCAGCCCCCCTTGGCCAGGACAGATGGCAGCAGAGGGGCTGGCCCTGGTCTTGGGTTTCTGCTAAGTCATGCCTGTGGGCCTGCCTGCCTGGCCCTTGTCCTCACACAGCGGCCTTTGTCCTCCGGAGCGGCGTGGAGGGGCTGGCTTTCCCTGAAGTGAGCGCTGAGGCTCTCGGCCAGGGCCCTTCCCAGAGCCTGTCTCCTGACTGGCAGTCAGGAGGGGCCAGGGGGTCTGGTTGGGAGGTGTCTGCCCTGAGGGTCCACAGGAGGCTTGCGTGAACCTCCAGGTGTGCTTCCCAGTGGCCCTCATTTGTCTACATCTGTCAATCCTACAGAGACCCAGGACAGGGCAGAGGCAAGCTGGACAGATACCGAGGGCGTGGAGTTCGCTCCGAAGGACTTGCGTAAGGGGCCGCTGGAAGCTTCTGGGCACAGAGCTGGGGGAGCCCACCCTCTGCCCTTCCTCAGAACCACAAGACACGCCAACCCCCTTCCTGAGCCCCTGCTGCGGGGGACAGTGTGGGGGAAGGGGGGTGGGCATCCAAGAAGGCCAAGGCATGATCCCTTCCATAGAGCAGAGATGCACCTGCATCAGCACGCACACGTCTGCACACATGTACAACACACGGCTGCCCAGGCACCCACACACATATGTGCAACACACCATACATTCATACACCCTCACACATCCACATATACAGCATGCACACGTCTACACAGGCACCCACACATATGCTCATATGCATGTACTCACCTTCATACATAGGCATCCACAGACCCACACATCCACACACATATGTACAACACACACATACATCCATACCCCCTCACATAAACACACATCCACATATACAACACATACTATACATTCACACACACTCCCCCACATCCACATATTCAACACACACATACATCTATACATCCTCCCTGACACATACACACTCATACAATGAATACACACATACACACACAGAGGCACTCACACATGCTCACACACATGCACTCACACATGCACACATACATCACACACCCACATCCACATGTATACACCCATACACAGATACCCATGCACTTACACCCACATCCATCCATACAGACACCTCATCTGTACAGCAACACACACACACACACAGGCACTGAAACATATGCTCATATGCACCCACTTACCCTTACACGCATATGCACCCACACCCACACATAGACTCATGCATATATGCACATCCATACACACACACACACACACACACACAAACATTCGTATGAAGGGTATCAGCCCCCACAATCGAACAGGTCCACGGGGTGGTGGTGTCAGCGAGGGGTAAAATTAAAGAGACATCAGACAAGATAAAGTCTGCAATTGCTCACCTCCGGGACGGCCAGGATCTCAGCAGCCAGGTCCGCATCGAGAGAGGGAGTATATTTCCAATCACAGCTTATATACGTTTAGGGGACTCCAGAGCAAGCCCAATTACAGGGAACCACATATGTCACAGGAAGGGGCTGTACAATAGGCATACACGTGACCGGAAGGGGATGAGCTAGGGGTGTCCACGCAATAAGAAGGGGAGGCACTAGGGGTCACATGTGACAAGACGGGCGGACTCTAGATTCAAGACGGCAGCCTGACCTTGGTCCTCCTTGAGTGGGCTTGACCTTGTCTCTGGGCTCTCCTTCAGGGGAACAATCCACTATCCTTACCAGCAAGGAGTGGGCCCCACCTGGGGTGGGACAGACTGTAGAGTCTGATTGCTTTCGATGGCTGCTGACCCTCAGGGACATAACAGCTGACCTCCACGTGCATGGACATCAACCATGTGTCATATGATATGGGGGAACAACCTGGGGGAAACCTTTTTGTATCCCACATTCATGCATATAGCCACACCCACCCACCCACCCACACATCCATGCACTCTCACATGTATCCTCACACATACACCCCCCACACATGCATTCACACACACTCTTGCATATATGCACACACATGTATCTCCACACACATTCGGAAATTCCACAATCACATACGTGCAGGCAACCACACAGGCTCACACATTCAGGCACACTCATGCCCACACATATGCACACCCTGATCCCCCGTGCATTCACAAAGATTCACAAGCACCCACACACAGTCACATACCTCCATAGTCAAAGACGCACACTGACATACGTACACATCCCCGCACTCAAACACTGTGTGTACATATCGACACACATGCACACGCCCACACTCACCAACCCCCTGGGCAGGATCTTGTTTGGGTGGCAGGTGGGCCCAGCCTGGGGAGTGGCCATGCAGGGGCCAGGGAGTGAAGGCTCCCCAGCTGCTCCTGGTGGGCCTCGTCTGCAAGTGACCCAGTTCTCACTCCGCAGAGCAGACACCTGCCCGGCATGTGGCCTTCATTCCTCCCATCACCGTGCACCCCTACATGACACGTAAGTGGACGGGGCTGGGGTGGCAGTCTCACAGCATGCCGTGGTCAGCATCTGGATGGCCTGGGGAGGCCCCCCGGACAGTCTCACGGGCACGAGTGGCAGGGTGCCAATGGGCATTGGGCCGGGGCCATGCCAGAGTGGAGGTTCTCCCCAGAGAGTGGCAGCCACCCGGCCACATCTTTCCAAGGACAGGGTGGGTGTGGTGGTGTTGCCTGGAAGCATCTCATGCCTGCCCCCACCCCACAGCTCTGAACCCCATGCACAATGGGCGCGTCTGCAGCACATGGGGTGACTTCCACTACAAGACCTTCGACGGCGACATCTTCCGCTTCCCCGGCCTCTGCAACTACGTGCTGGCCTCGCACTGCCGGGCCCCCTACGAGGACTTCAACGTGCAGCTGCGCCGAGAGCTCTCGGGCGGCAGGCCCGTCATCAGCCATGTGGTCCTCAAGGTGGAGGGGCTGGTGCTGGAGGTCCTGCAGGGCTTGGTGCTGGTGAACGGGCAGCAGTGAGTGCCGGGGGCTGGGGGCTCCTGGGCGGGGGCCGGCAGAGCGCAGTGGGGAACCAGCTTTCTTGCCCAGGGAGAAGGTGCCCTACAGCCGCTCCGGGCTCCTGGTGGAAGAGAGCAGTAGCTACATCAAGATCAGCATCCGCATGGTCCTTACGCTCTTCTGGGGCCGAGGGAACAGCGTCCTGGTGCGTCCACCGTCGGCCCTCCGGGGCTGGGGGCTGGTGGGGCCTGGGGGTGAGGGGTCCTGGCCGGTGCGGGGGAGGGTGTGGGGGCAGAGGCTTGCTCAGCACTGGCTCTATGTCCCTGAAGCTGGAGCTGGACCCCAAGTACGCCAACCAGACGTGTGGCATGTGCGGGGACTTCAACGGGCTCCCTGCTTTCAATGAGTTCTACTCCCACAGTGAGTGCTGCCTGCCCGGGGCTGGGCCTGCTGGGGCCAGAAGGCCTGTGGGGCAGGGACTGACTCCAGGGAGGCCCTGGCACGCAACTGAAGGAACCAGTTCCCAGCCCCACCCCCCTCTCCCCACAGACACCAAGCTGTCAGCACTCCAGTATGGAAACCTACAGAAGCTGGACGGACCCACAGAGCAATGCCAGGACCCACTGCCCAGCCTGTCCTCCAACTGCACCGATACCGATACCGGCGTGAGCATCTGCCCCAGTGCCCCTGCAAGGAGACAGCAGGGCCAAAGGAGTTGGGCCGGGACCCCCGTGGTGTCCAGAGAAAGAGGGGCAGGGTACCCTCGCCCAGAGTGGCTGAGGGCATAGTCACATGACCTATAGCCAACTCCCCCAGAACCAAACCAATTCTGCACCCAGGGGAGCAAGTGAATAGTGTAAGAGTGAATAGGTGGGTGGGACGATGGAAGGAAAGACGGAGGGAGGAAGGGCCTGAGAGAAGGAGGCATGGATGAAGGGAGGGAGGGACTAAGGGATGGAGGAATAGAAGGAAAAAACCAAAGATGAATGGAGAAAGTAAAGGAGGGAGTGAAGGATGGATGGATGGATGGGTGGATGGATGGATGGGTGGGTGGATGGATAGATGAGTGGAAGGATGAGTGGATGGATGGATGGATGGATGAGTAGATGAATGGATGG